GAGTCCCAGTGCTACCAGGTAACAGCCACACGACTCTGAGACGCTGCCAGCCCTCTGAACCTTCCATGTGCTCATCTGTCAATCAGAGAAACAGCACCTCCCTCAGATGAACAGCACGAGCCAAGTCAGGCAAGTCAGACACGAAGTCCAGAGTCTCAGGTACACAGTTGGTGCTCAATAATTGCAAGCTATTATTATTCCAGGCATTCAATGCTGAACTAGTTTCCTCACAGGCCTGCATTCACGTCTCCTGCCCTCAGTGGATACTGAAAGATTTCCTGTCTTAGTTCTGTCTGTAGATAATCAACCAGAAGGCACAGGGCGGGGATGGATTCTCACTCCAGTTTCTCTGCCATGGCACTCACTCACCTGATTCCAGAGCCCTACTCTGTGCCCGACACTGCTAGGTCTTGCAGACACACTGGTGGACAAAACAGACTTCCAGTAGGGTGGGGAGACAGAAGTGAATCTAATAATCACACACTAGGTAATCATAAAATGTCACAACTGCTATGAAGGAGAAGGTTCTGCGGATCTAGAAGGGACTTTGGAGCGGAGGCCCCAAGAGCGAGCAGCTGGAGTCACGTCCTGACCACAGCAGCCCGGGCTGAAGCCTGCGCAGACGTGGCAGAGGGACTCCTCGTAAAGCGTGCCATTTGAGAAGTCTCTTCTATGTCTACACCTGTGAAACCATCGCAGAGGCAAGACAGCCAAGGCACTGCTTACCCCCAAGCGTCCTCGTGCCCCTTGGGAGTCCCTCCGTCTGGTCCCCTTCAGGCAACCGCTGATCTGCTTTCTGGCACCACAGGCTAGTTTGCATTTTCTAGAGCTTTGTATAAATGGAAGCATACAGTATACTCCTTTTGGTTACGGTCTCCTTCTCTGTGCATAATTATTAATTACTTTGAGATTCATTTAAGTTGTTTGTGTCAACAGTTCATTCCTTTATATTGTTGGGTCCTATTTCATTGTTGGATATACTGCAATTTATCAATTCACCCATCACTGAATTTGGCTGACTCTGGTTTATGGCTATTACAAATAAAGCTGTACGGACATTCATGCAAAAGTCTTTATATGCACATACGCCATCATTCCTCTCGGGTAAACAGCTAGGGGTAGGACAGTTGGACTGTCTGGTGAGTGTATGCTTCACCTTTTAAGAAATCACCAAAGTGTCTTCCCAAGTGGAGGTACCGTCTTACATGCCCACCAGCAGCATACGAGAGCTTCAGTTCTTCCACGTCTTTGCCAACCCTTGGTATGGTCAGGCTTTTTAATTTTAGCCGTTGGAGTTGACATGTGGTGGTGTCTAACTATGGTGATAATTTTCATTTCTCTAAATGATGTTGAGCATCTTTCCACGTACTCAGTGGCCATTAGTATAACTTCTTTGGTGAAATGTCTGTTTAAATCTTTCAACCATGTATTAATTGGGTTGGAAAGAGTCTAATATGCCTGCTCTTCACAAAGGTCAGGGAGGGTCCAGGGAAAGCAACGAGGGGCGGTAAAACTCCCCATGGGCAGACGCTGTTGTCACCCCGGCCCGGAAGGTGGGGCGGGGGCAGTTACCAGACAGAAAGCTGTCTGCAGAGGGCTGCCCGTGATGGGATCTGTGCCTTCAGATTTATTTTCCGCGTCTGTGAAAGGGGACGGCAGGAACAACTGCACCAGCTTCCTGGCGTTGTGGCGTGGGTTCACCGAGTTAATGCCGACTCGTGGTACCCAGGAGGGAGGAGACCAGGTGTGGCTGGTAGAATAACCCCCAAGATGTCCACATCCTCATCCCCAAATGTTGTGAATTTGTTACCTGCCATGGCAGAGGGCCTAGACAGGTGATTACGTGAAGGGTCTGGAGACGGGGACAATGTCCTGGATTATCAGGGCGAGGTCAGTGTCATCACAGGGTCCTGAGAAGATGGAGGCAGGCGGGTCAGAGTCAGAGAAGGAGACATGAGGACGCAGCACGGTCAGGGAGGGCAAGGAGAGAAGGCCTCGGCCTGCCGTGGCTGTCTTGGAAGATGAAGGAAGGGACGCGGTCCTGCCGACACCTTGACCGGAGCCCAGTGAAACCCATTCTGGACTTCTGACCTCCAGAACTGGAAGATGATAAACTTATGTTGCTTTAAGCCGCTAATGTGGCTTAAATGTGGCAATTTGTTATAGCCGCCACAGGAGACTAATTTACCAGGGGAATAAATACCTCTGCCCCTCTCTCCTTTCAGGCCTCTCATTGGCTGAACCCAACTGGAAGCCAGGGGCCACAGGTCACCCAGGTCAGCCTCCAGGGCAGAGAGCAGACTGAGAAAGGGGGAGAGCGTATCTGGAGGGGCAAGAGGAAGACATCCAGCACAACAATTATCCCCATTTTACAGACAAGCAAACTGAGGCAGAGAGAGGCTAAGTAACTTATCCAAGGTCACACAGCTGGTCGGTATGGAGCTGGCAGCCATAAGACTAAGTAATACTTAGAAGTATTTCGAATCATACCTGGAGCACTTACTATGTGCTGGGCACGGAGCAAAGCATTTTCTATTTCCCACCAGCAACAGTTCTTATGAGGTTAGTACTTATTGTCATCAGTTGACAGATGAGGAAACTGAGACTCAGAGAGGGTTTGTCATCTGCCCAAAGTCACACAGCTAGGGGTACAGCTGAGACCTGAACATAGACAGGTCTGATGCCAAAGTCCATGTGTGTAACTATTGGGCCATGTGCCTTCCCAGTGTCAAGTCCCTGGTGCCCACCTGGTGTCTACCTGGTACGTGGCATGAGTTCCACGGGCAAATGGTAATGGTTATTATGGTCTTGGGTAGGGGAGGGAAAGTGAGGGTATCTCAGGACTTATGCTTTTCTTTTGGTGAGGAAGATTGGCCCTGAGCTAACATCTGTGCCAATCTTCCTCTATTTTATGTAGGATGCTGCAGCAGCATGGCTTGACAAGCAGTGTGCAGGCCTGCACCCAGGATCCAAACCCGCAAACCCCAGGCCACCAAAGTGGAGCACATGAACTTAACCACTACACCAATGGGCCAGGCCCTCTCAAGACTTTTTTAAACCTATTGTTTCCTCTCTTGCTTTTCTTCTGTCTCTTTTTTTGTCTTCATGCCATTTTAGATTTCCTGCCATCGCCTCTGGGCTCTAGAGCTGTGGTTTCCTCTAAGAAAACCTCAACAGCCTAGGATTTTGGCTCATTAGATAAATCACATGGTGTGGCAGGGAGCGAAGGTGAGGTGTGGGGGGACAGAGTTGGACTCAGGTGACCCTGGTGTGAAATAAGAAGAAAGGCCTACGTTGGTGTCTGCCCCCAGTTCGTGACATGGGCTCCTAGCTCCCCTTGTAAACAGGGGTGCTGGGGGCATCTTTCGTTCTAACGGGAGTCTCTGATCCCAGTTCCTGACACCGTGCTCCTAAGACCTTTGTAATTTCCTGGGTGATGGGAGCATCTGACACCCAACTCCTAAATCCCTTGGAATTTCCTGGAGCATCTTTTGTTCTAATGAGGTGGCTCCCGGATGGGGACCGGTCACCAGACAGACCAAGCCAGGATCAGCCCCACCTCCTTCACTCCTGAGAGGGGAGCGGGGCTGTCAGTGGAGTTAATGCTTGATCAGGCCTACGTGATGAAGCCTCCATGAAAGTCCTAACAGCATGGGGTTCAGAGAGCTTGTGGGTTGACGAATATCCACATGCTGGGAGGGTGGCGCACGCCAACTCAATGGGGCAGAAGCTCCTGTGCTCAGGACTCTTCCAGACTCGCCCTGTGTACCTCTTCCTCTGGCTCTTCCTCTGTGTCCTTTGTCATAGCTTTCATTATATAATAAACTGGTCAATGAGAGTGTTTTCCTGAGTTCTGTGAGCTGTTCTAGCAAATGACTGAGCCCAAGGAGGGGGTCATTGGAACCCTCATCATAACCAGTCACTCAGAAGCACAGGGGACAACCCGGACTTGTGACTGGTGTCTTTAGTGAGGAGGGGGCAGTCTCGCAGGACAGAGCCCTTAACCTGTGGGATCCGACACTGCCTCCCGTAGTCGGAACTGAGTTCCACTGCAGGACACCCGGTTGGTGTCAGCATTGCTTGATGGTGTGCAGGAAAACGCACACATCGGGGTCAGGTGTGTCAGAAGTATTGAGTGTGTGAGTGAAAAAGAAACCCAGGAGTGTGTTTTTCCTGCATGCCTGGCCAACGGGTTTAGTCAGCTGTCACTCCAGATAGAGGGACAATTCCGACCTGTTCTTCTGTCAGCCACTGCCTGGGACAAATGCTGGGCTTGTGAAGTTGAAAAGACGGCTGTTTTCATAGAATGCAAAGCAGGAGTCTTCCGAGGTTCTGCAGGCTGCCTGCCTCTGTCTGGATTCCCTGCTCTGGGTCTTCCTGCAGAGGCAGTGGCAATAATTATGCACTAAAGGTGCTGTCTGGGCCTAGCCCTGCTTAGGCCTCTGCATGACAGTGGGCATCCCCCAAGACCTCCTCATCCCAACACCTGCCTGCAGGCCTTCCCCACAGTTCACGCGAAGCACGACGGCCACTACTCCCTTCCTGCGTCCACGGCAGACATCACTAATTGATCACGGAACTCTTTCTTCCTGCGCCTCAGCACCCTTTCCAAAATGTGCTCCCGGAGCCACAAAGAGTCAAAACCTACGAGAGCCATCCTCCCTGGGAGAAGCAGGACTCAGGCCAAGCCAACATGCTTTTTCCCTCTCTCAGGAGACGTTTGGATGAAAACTGCCTCAAGGGCAGCTCTCAACAATGGCACTCAGGAAATGCACTTAAAGAGCAGAGAGGTGACAGGAGGTGGTGACAGCAGAGAACCGTGCTCAGCTTCATGGAACTAGAAGAGGTGGGCAACAGCATCTACTAGCTCGGGCTCTGTCTACGTGACACGCTGACCTCAGCTCTGCCCGCGCCCACTCTCCTGCTCCAGAAGGCGCTCCCAGAATCCCCTGCATGATCGGCATGATGGGGGTGACCGGGCGGCTGCGGCCCACGCCTACCTTGGACTTGACGGCCAGGATGATCTTGGGCAGGGCCACGATGAGGCACTTGAGGGCAATGGTGATGTACTTCAGGACGAAGTCTGCAATCCCCACGATCCACAGCAGGTCGAAGAAGTCCAGCGTGTCCAGGTTGGGCTTCAGGAATATGAGGCTGCGGGGAGGGCTCAGAGTCAGGATGCTGTCTTAGGATCACTGGCCCCTGGCAGCGACCTACTCACTCGGGGAGCCTTGTAAGAATTACCTGCAGAAAGAGCACTGAACTGGGAGTCAGACATCTGTGTCCTGTTCCTGAATCTGCTACTAACTTGCTGTGTGACCTCAGGTGGGTATCTTAACCTCTCTGAGCCTCAGTTCCCCTGAGGATTAAAAGACTAGATTGGCCTGGAGCATCATTAAGGTCCCCTCCAGTTTTATGGGTTTACAACAGGCTTCACAAGAGGAAGCAGAAGGAAGGAAGGAAGGAAAGAAGGAAGGAAGGAAGGAAAGAAGGAAGGGAGGGAAGAAGGGAGGGAAGGAGGGAGGGAGGGAGGGAGGAAGGAAAGAAGGAAGGAAGGAAGGGTGGGCAATACTACAAAGGAGGGAGGGAGAGAAGGGAGGAGGCATATTGACATGCCAGACACTGTGCTAAGCTTGCTGTATCTCATTGCCCTGCACAGAGAGTGCTGCTTATCCCCACTTTATAAATGGGGCGCTGAGGCTGGAGACATGAAGTAAGTGGGTCAAGGTCACACTGCATGATAAACATATGGGGATTAGTATCAGACACACTTGAATTTGAATCCAGGTTTCTCCGTTTACTGGACGCTGGGCAAATAACGCTATCTCTGTAAGCCTCAGTGTTCTCATCAATAAAATGGGCATCGTTCCCTCCCTCGTAGTGCTACTGGTGGGATTTGACAATAGACACACTACAGACTCTGCCACGTGGCAGGGACAATGACAACAGTGACTCGATGAGGCAGGCACTGTTATCGCCCCATTCTGCAGATGAGGAAACTGCAGCACAGAAAGGTCAAGTAACCAGCACGAGCTCCTCCAAATATAAGGGGCAGTGCTGGATTCGCACCCAGCCATCCGAGCTGTATCTGTGCTCATGACTCGGAGTGCGTCGACCCATTCTACTCTCCCCTGACCAGGTGAGTCAACCTCATGCTCAACTTCTGTACTTACCTCGCGGGAGACACACAACAAGCAGTTCTCAAACTGGCACCCGTCTGTGGACCACACTTTGAGTAGCACTGCCGTCCACCACCTCTGAGGTTGGTGATGTTATTTGTAATAATAACAGTACAGTCAGGCACCACATAACATTTTGGTCAATGACGGGCCACATGTATGACGGTGGTCCCATGAGATTAGTACCACACGGCCT